GGAGATTTGACTCTTTCCCCTCCCTTGCTACAGTAAGGGAGAGAAAAGAGTCAAATCCTGAGGGAAATGCTGCTTCTGTAGATGGTATTTGCTTTTTGGGTGGGAGCAGGGGGATAGCAGCAAACAGCAGCTTCAGAAAAGACATTTTCCTCAGGATCACAGTAATGAGGAAGCACAGGGTTATATCCCATCTCTATGCTTGCCCTGATCCTGTTCTTTTCTCTCTTTTTTACTCATCTGCCAACTAATGCTATTGGGATTTTTTTAAAGGGCATATAGAATGTTGTGTAGTTTGGCCCTCAGTTTCCCAGACCTGTTGACTAAAACCAGCGCTCTGCTAATCTTGTTGACTGTAGCAATGTTTGTTTGATGCCAGTGCCCAGGCCCAACCAAGCTGCCACTGCTTCTCTGCTAGCACCAGAACGTTCTAGAATCGTATCTCCTCAGGGATAGGTGTTGTCTTCGCAACTATTCCAAGATCCCATACATTAATCTGGTGCAGATTTTATCAAGTGGTTAGAGAACACATAGCTGATCCTACTAGGATCAGAGGATTCTGGTCAGCCTTTCAAGACCTATCTTCCTTGAGGGGACTAATAGATCTATTACCAAACAGGTGGCAAAATATTTGAACGTTATCCTATCTCGGACCTGCTATGAATGTTAGTTCCTAACTTGCCAGAGTTAATAATTAATATTTAGCTCCCCTGAGGCTGTGGTTTTTATATTTTGTACCGTGTTAACTGGTCGATCAGCCATAATAAACACTTGACTGATTATAGTTGTCATCTTCCGATCAGCAAACAGTGGCAGATTAGCACAAAAAGATTAGTGACGTTAAATGTTATGACTGTGGAACCAATACTAAGGCGCCCTGAGTCCACTATGTGTACCAACCCTAATAAAGGGGGGGGGGGGAATCCATTGTTCTCTTGGTTGTGTGGCCATCTCAGGTAGCAGTGATCAGGGGGAGAGCTTTCTCTGCGGCAGCCCCCTTTCTATGGAATCACCTCTCCTTGGAGCTCTGACAAGCATCAACACCAATGACATTTTGGCACTCTTTAAAACAAGGTGGAATACGTACCACCTAATATAATCTGTCTCAAGGCTGTGTACAAGCTGAAATTATAAAACAATATTTTTAAAAAATTAAATTTGCATGCTGCCCTTCATCTCTTGATCTCAGGGCAGTTCGCAGAATGAAAATGCAAGATAAAGGCACAACATTGCTAACAAAGACAAAAGAAACCAATAGCCACCCCTCTCTCTCCTACACCAAAACAATAAAACAGCAAAGAGCTCAAATGGCAGTGTTTCTTGTCCACACTATAAGACAGAGTGAGGCTTGAAGAATCTCAGACAGTAGACTCTGGATGTCATTAAAGAGTAGCAAGCTGGAACTTGATTTTTAACCAATGGAATAGCAATTGAATTAGCCAGCAAGAGGGGGGCAGATGAGCAATGGTGAGGAAAAGCAGATCCACAAGGCTCTACATCAGGGGTCAGCAACCTTTTTCAGCCGTGGGCCAGTCCACCGTCCCTCAGACCATGTGGTGGGCCAGACTATATTTCGGGGGGAAATATTAACAAATTCTTATGCCCCACAAGTAACCCAGAGATGCATTTTAAATAAAAGCACACATTCTACTCATGTAAAAACACGCTGATTCCTGGACCGTCCATGGGCCGGATTGAGAAGGCGATTGGGCCGGATCCAGCCCATGGGCCTTAGGTTGCCTACCCCTGCTCTACATGGAAGACCCCCATCCTGCTGGGGTGTGAGCCCACA